AGGCGTAGAACTAATACGATGTGCCGCGTGTCAACGTGAATTTTACGGGTCGGTGTGTTTCGAGCGTCATCGTGCGCAAAAATCGCTCCAAGGCACTTCATCTTTGAGCATCTGTAATATCCTGAGAGTTTGCAGCGACTGTGGCCGTTTGCGAAACTTGAGGAACAAACACAATTGCAATGAGATCTTTTGTCGTGTTTGCAACGCGTTGCAACCAATGAATCATCTATGTTATATGAAACCACTTCGATGCGACACTGGTTCATCCGACACGATGAATCCGCAGCAAGTAGGAAACGAAAACATAGTTGATGACATTGACGAAGCGATAGAAACAAGTGAGCGCGTAAAAGGTCGCATCGCGTTTGTATTCTATGATTTTGAGACGCGTCAAGACGATACGATCGAAGGCACAGAAAACGTTAAACTCACGTTATGACGCTCTGTGTTGCGCAGCAGATATGTGAAAGCTGCATGAATGTAGACGATATGGCGTTACGATGTCGTTGGTGCGGGATACGCGAATTTTTCGGGACAATCCGGTGAAACAATTCGTCGATTTTGTCACGAGACCGAGGAAGAGTTTCAAACAGATCATCTGCATCGCACACAATGCAAGCGCATTCGATGCGCAATTTATCCTATGGTACTTGGTCGAGAGCGGTAATCGGGTGGAACCTAAGCTTATTTTAAACGGTACGAAGATTATATTGTTAACTGTTGGGCAAACAAAATTTATCGACAGTGTTAATTATATGCCTATGCATTTGTCAGCATTACCAAAAGCCTTCGAGTTAAAGGATACTGCGGCAAAGGCCTGTTTCCGCATTTATTTAACACTGTCGAAAATTACATTACATTACATCGGACCGATACCAGATGCAAGATACTATTCACCCGAAACAATGAGAACGCCTGAGCATGAGCGGTTTTTAGAATGGCACGAGGACATGGTGCGCAAAAACATAGAATTTGATTTCCAACGGGAAATTGTGAGCTATTGCCGGAACGATGTCGATATTTTTCAACGGGTTTGTCTTGTGTTCCGTAAGATTTTCCTGGATCGTGGAAAAGTATGTCTGTTTGAAGAATGCACAACCATCGCGTCTACGTGCATGAGAGTTTTTCGTAAAAACTTTCTGCGTGAAAAGGAGATAAGTATTATTCCTTCCTCCCCGGGTGAGTATCGGCGTGTCAACAACCAATCCCGCAAAGCGTTGAAATGGTTGTTGTGGATGGAGCGCGAGCTCGGTCATACTATAACGCATGCAGGTAGATCTCGCGAACATTGCATACCGGAAGGGCTGCTCGTCGATGGATATTACGAGACAACGAATCCTCCACAAAGACACGTGTTGCAATTTCACAGGTATTTTTGGCATGGATGTCCCGCATGTTTCAGGGTGAATCGTGATAGCCCGCTCTCAGCCACCGTGAAGGGGGATACTATTGAGTCGCGATACGAGCATACACGCGTGACAATACTCTCGTCAACGGAGGCTAGGTTACATCGTAACGGAGAAGTGGGAGTGCTTCTTCGATCGGGAGTTGCAGGACAATCAACCGATGCGCGATTTCCTTGCGAATCACTCGATGTTAAAAACTGAGCCTCTCGATCCTCGCGAAGCGTTCTTCGGTGGTTGTACAGGAAACATCGTCACCCGGTGCGATGTTACGAGTACGGAAAAGATACGTTACGTAGACGTATGCTCCTTGTACCCGTTTGTACTAAAGACGGGCTCTTTTCCGCTCGGCACCCGGACGTGTACGTGGGCGAAGAATGTTCTGCCTTGATTGGTATAGTTCCCGATTTTGACTTTAGAGTGGAGGGGATCGTGCGGTGCAAGATGCTCGCTCCGCGTGATCTCTTTCACCCTGTATTCCCATTTCGCGTTCGCGGAAAATTATTGTTCGCCCTATGGCGTAGTTGCTGCGAGACATTTTCTCAATCTCCGTGCACACATGATAATCTGGCCGATCGAGAATTCGAGGGTACCTGGGTATCCTGTGAATTGTGGAAGGCTATAGAGAAAGGCTATAGTGTCAGGTTCTTGAGCGAGATATGGAAATATAAGATTTCGCAATACGACTCAAGTACTCGGTTGGGAGGCATGTTCGCGGGATTTATCAATTGCTTTCTGCAACTTAAGCAGGAGGCTAGCGAGTGGCCTGCTGAATATACTGACGATGAAGAGGGCAAAGAGCGATATCTGTGGGAATACGAAAAAACAGAGGGTATTGTTCTCGATAGAAACAACATCGCGGTAAATTCAGGGTTGCGTTCGGTTGCAAAGCTTTGCCTCAATTCGCTCTGGGGTAAATTCGGTCAGCGATCTAATCTGCCGAATACCGAGGTCATTAAGACACGCGAACATTTCATGTCGCTGCTCGCGAGTCCCGAGCATGAAATCATAAACATATTGCCCGTGAACGATGAAGTTCTCTCCGTCTCATGGCGATTACGACAAGAGGCGCTTGTTCCCTCTGCAACTATAAACGTCGTAATAGCGGCCTACACGACAGCACAAGCACGCTTGAAATTGTACGCTTATTTAGAAAAATTAGATCGTAGAGTGTTATATTATGATACTGATTCATATATATATTTGAGCACCGGTGACCCCAATGAGTACGAGCCGCGTACGGGTAATTTCTTGGAGGATATGACGGATGAACTCGAAAGTTATGGTCAAGGTAGCTACATAGAATCCTTTGTATCCGGAGGCCCAAAATTTTATGCCTTTGTCGTTCGCTCTCCACAAGGTAAAATCCATGAAGTTGCAAAGTAAAGAGGATAACCTTGAACTTTGAGACTTCGAGATATATTAATTTTAGTAGTATAAGAAACTTATTAGTTACCAATAAAATACCTATCGATAAGAACGAGGAAGAGAAGAAGGAGGATGCGAGAAAAACTTCGATAAATCTACGTTTTAGAACGATTCGTCGTACAGCGTTTCACGACATTGTAACGAGAGACGAGAACAAGTTATGCATGCCGATGCTCCTAAAACAAAGATTCGACGACACAAGTTACTCTGTGCCATACGGTTACGTAGTGGCGTAAGAATAGTAGTAGAGCATATTTTTTCTCCTCCAAATCTAAACACTTATTTGTAGAGTAAGAAAAATATAAATATAGACAATTCCCCAAAAGCGACCAACCTGTATATCGTGTATGCACTAGCTCTATAAGAAACTTTTGTGCAAACTGTATGTATATATTCTATTAAAATAAAGCTTTTGCAAAATACAGAAGAAATAAGTTCTTTTACAAATATATGTATATGTATTTCTATCCTTGTATATGACCCTTGAATCACAATAAAATCTTAGCAAATTATATCGCTAGAAGCAGTCTATTTCACTCACAAGCGTTCGCTCGTACAAGCTCATTGAACGATTATTAGCTCACAGTTTCACGCCGGAAACGCTAATATCGCTTGCGGCGCTAAAATAAGCTATTCCTGTGGCGCGAGCGCCACGTGAAAAGCTTATTCGACGTAGCGCTTCCGCGGATATGAGCTAACGGAACCGCGCGGCCGCCGCGGAAGGGCCTCCGGCGCGAGTTATAAGCTCATCGCCGTTTCTCCTTTTCTTCAGCATTTGTGTAGCTTCACTAGGTAACCGAATCAATCATTTGGCAAAATGGACGCGCGCTGGAAACATAGTAGATAGAATAGGGGGATTCTAACTCAAATTGCTAATTAATTATGCAAAAGACATTATTCATTAATTATATTTTTTAATTATTACCCTCCTCTTAATCGATACCCCCTCTTAATCGATCCCCTTCTTAATTGATCCCCCTCTTAATTGATACCCCCTCTTTATTGGTACCCTCCTCCTCCACTCCAGAATCTTTGATTCTATGAGCAAGATAGCGGCCGTGATGTCACGAGAGAAAAACGCGTCGGGCTGTAGTAGGTAGACTCGAACCTGGGCCCCGCGGTTGCTATCGGACGCTCGAACCTCCTAGACCATTGCTGCCTGTTGCTAGTAGACGTCTAGTGAAGGTTCTTACAGTATGTGTGATGACGTCACGCATACGTCAAAAGAAAACACATGGCGGCAGTGTAGGCCAGACTCGAACCTGGGTCCCGCGGTTGCTATCGAGCGCTCGAACCTTCTAGACCACCGTCGCCTATTGCTAGTAGACGTCACGTTACGGATAAGATGGCGACCGTGACGTCACGCATACGTCAAAAGAACAAACATGGCGGCGGTGTAGGTAGGGTCGAACCTGGGCCTCGCGATTACTATCGAACCTGGGCCCTGCGATTACTATCGAACGTCTATCGAACGTCTCTCGAACATCTATCGGACGTCTCTCGGACGTCTCTCGGACATCTCTCGAATGTCTATCGGATATCTCTCGAACCTCCTAGACTATTGCTAGTAGGCGCCTAGTGAAGGTTCTTACAGTGTGTATGATGGCGTCATGCATGCGTCAAAAGAAAAACAAAGTCGGAACTAGGCCAGACTCGGACCCCGGACCCTTCGTTTACTGTGCGATGGTCCTACCACTTAGACCATCATAGGGTAGGTTGGAAGGGAATACGAAACGTTCGTCGAAAGATTATTTTACCATGCCGACTTGCGCCGGGCACTATCCTCATCGTTCTGAGGAGGGGGAAGGGAAGTAAAATGGGAGACATATAGAATTAATTTATACATAATTTTATGTTTTCCAGAATATCATTTATTTGTTCACGGCTTCATACATTATATTTTTTACAGCGCATGCTAACAATTCACAATCAATGAGCGACTCGCGGTCAAAGTCGCTGCTTTCTTGTATTGTTTTTGTTGCAGTATGTATATTAGTAATATAATTCTTCTTTTCACGAAGAATATTTACAAAACTTTTGAATTTTACACTAACTATACAGATATTTTCTGATAACCATCCATACGTGTGATTGATGCAATTTTCAAATGTAAATAATACATTTAACGTATCTGGTGTTACATATAAGCAATTATTAAAAATTGTGAGTTTCACATTTGTGAGTTGTACATCTTACATGACATTATTGTTAATTCTTCTATACGCATCGGGGGAGACGATGACTTATAAAAATTGGCCTGCAGAAATCTTTGGATGTCAGCACGTTGCCCCATTAGCGCATTCCAAGTTTTGATCGACAATAGCAGTTGTTTGCCACGATTATCATCAATGACAATGTCTATGACGGGTTCAGTTCCTACGATGATTGCGATATTCAAATATTTATAAGCAGTTGCAGTCAAAGCGTATCGGCGTCTTAAGATATGCATATCAGGAGGTCGTGGAACGCTGAAAAGATATAGAAAATTTACATGTCTGAATCTTGGAAAAATTACTACGGATAAACTAAAAGAAACAGCATTATGACACTCACCTTTCGCACATTTTCTTGTTCGGTGGAGCCTCGTCCTCATGTTGAGCAGGCATATAATAATTTGCGTGTTTAGCTTTAGCACTGGCAGCATACAATTTTTATGTAGACACACTCAAACTTTACTATGTATGAATCTCGTGTTCACAAAGCGACTGAGAGACAGAGGTTTTTTTCCGAAGCCTAATATTAAAGCTACTATAGGGCATCCCCTCCTCTTACTCTTCAGAGTTGTAGCGCATGCGCAGATATATTCCTCAAAACAGGAAAGTAAATGAGATGTAGATATCTTTGGTTTAGACTCGAGATGGCATTAGAGATGTCGCTTCCGAACGACATCTTTTAACGAAATCAGGGGCGAGGAGAGTGTCTTGACCATGGAGCGTCAGGTAGCTTAGTGGGTTTAGAGCAATCGCAAGCGAGAGACCCGAGTTCAATTCCCGGTCTAGCGACTACCGCACTTACGCGATATTTTTTCTCTCTTCGGGACGAAATAAGAAGCAGGTCCCATCGCCTAGTACGCCCTCCTTCTTTCACGGTCGTCATTTGACTCGCGCATATCCGAACGTTTTCTAACGCAAAGAATATAAAGTAAAGGATTCCAAAGAGCCGAGTATTCTCTGTAGTTAATAAAGAAATGGAAGACTTCACTCAAACCGAACGAGAACTGTTGGAGCAATCCACTCGTCTGAATTCGCGAGAGGCTTACGACGCGTGGATGCAAAAGTTTGACAAGTGTATCAGATGTTTGGAAGAACAAAGTCGAGCAAAACGATCGCGATTGTCGATTGGCGCCGCGCAATCAGTGGTGGCTCGTATTGCACGACTCGAGGGACTGAAAATTTCTGTGCAAGAACGCTTCATACACGTGGGTGCTGGACACGCATCAAAAGATGCAGAATTGGTATGGAGAGAAATTGATACAGCGTTCGAAAGCCGCATATCAACCGGCGCAGTTATTAACCATATCGAACCTCTTCGATTTCTTCAAGATGCGAAGAGTACAGTGCTCGAGCACGTGCGAAGTGCTATGGAAAGGCACGGCAATCTTAAGGTGAACACTGTGTTCAATGGCGAGTTTATCGCAGGCGACAATCATGCATTCAAAAGCATTAACACGAGAAACAGTAAACTCTTTTCTGCTTTAGATTTGGATAAATGGTAAAACGAGCAACGCGTCATCGAGCCTACCTTGGCATCTTTGGAAGAATTTCAAGAACGTGATAGTGGCTGGGCACTGCTACGCATACTTGATCTCACAGTCAATGTGAACAAATACAATCCACTGCATGCAGGGTGCAACATTGAGCTGCCTCGCGAAATAAAATTGAAGAAAGCCGTAATAAACGTACGAACTAAAGACAACGCATGTTTTGCATGGTCTGTGGTCGCGGCATTATATCCAGCTGAAAGAAATGGAAACCGGGAATCTCCGTACCCACATTACACCAAAATATTCAATCTTCAGGATATTGAATTTCCAATGACGATTAAACAAATTACCAAGTTTGAACAGCTAAACAACATATCCATCAACGTATACACCATTCAAGATAAAAAGAAGCAAGAAAAAGCATGTACGATCGTTCTGATACGTCTCGCCAGTAAGAAGGAAATGCATGTAAATTTGTTATATATGCAAGATCCACAAGAGTGCAACATGGGACATTTCGTGTGGATCAAGAATTTGTCACGTCTTGTGGACATGCAGCTAAGTAAGAAAAAATGCAAGAAGTATATATGCGATCGGTAAGGAGATATTCACCATAAATACAATATAACAAATATGAAATAAAAGAATAACTCGTAATATCCATTTCTTTTCAGTTGCTTGCATTATTTTTATTCCAACGAAAAACTGGAGAATCATATCATAGATTGCAACAAGTTGAATGATTGTGCAGTCATCCTGCCAACAGAGGCCAACAAGTGGCTCAATTTTACTAATTACAGCAGAAGGGAACGGATTCCATTCGTGGTGTACGCTGACCTGGAATGCATTCTAGAGAAAACGCCAAACGAAGAAAAAAAATCGTATGTGTATCAGCATCATAAAATACATAGTATAGCTTATTATGTACGATGTTCCTACGATGAATCATTATCCGCATATCAGTGTCGTCGCGATCCGAATTGCATTTCGTGGTTCGTCGAGGAACTTAAACAATTGGCGCATCGTATAAAAATTATTCTGCGTAATAATATCCCTATGGAAATTTTATCACAAGAACAGTGCGCAGCATTTTATAGTGCAACGCGTTGTCATATATGTGAAAAATTATTCGCAGTGGGGGATATACGCGTACGCGATCACTGTCATTTAACCGGACAATACAGGAGTCCGGCACATTCCAATTGTAATTTAAATTATACAGATTCCTATTATATTCCAGTAGTTTTTCATAACTTATCAGGTTATGACGCTCATTTTATTATCGAGGAAGTAGCCACCGCGTTCGAAGGTCACGTCGATGTACTACCATTAACGAAAGAAAAATATATTTCATTTACCAAACATATTAATGATACAACAAGTAAAACATCAGACTGGCGAAATCATATTAAATTGCGGTTCATCGATTCGTACAAATTTCTCAGTACCAGTCTCGATAAATTAGCATCGTTTCTCACTGGAGACAAATTAAAAATTCTTCAATCCGAATTTAAAAACTTGTCCAACAAAGATTTTGATTTATTAACGCCAAAAGGTGTCTTTTCGTACGAATATGTGGATTGTAATGACAAGCTGCAGGATCAATGTTTGCCACCGCGCGAGTTATTCTATAGTTCGCTGACAGATGATACAGTATCTGAGAGCGATTACACACATGCCGTGAACGTATGGGAACGGTTTTCTATTCAAACCTTAGGCGAATATAGCGATTTGTACCTGAAGACTGATGTTTTGTTATTGGCTGATATTTTCGAAAATTTCCACGATAGTTGTATCAAAAGTTACGGTCTAGATCCCGCGCATTATTACACATTGCCAGGTTTCACGTGGGACACGATGTTGAAACATACAAAAATTAATTTTGAATTACTCACAGATATTGATATGGTAATGTTTATCGAACGCGGTATACGTGGTGGTCTGAGTCAGTGTTCCAGTAGATACGCAAAAGCCAATAACCGATACATGCAATCTTACGGCCCATCGAAGCCATCCTCATACCTCATGTACTTTGATATAAATAATTTGTATGGCTGGGCAATGTGTCAACCGTTACCATACGCTGAATTTAAGTGGGTTGATGATACGTCGAATTTTGATGTTTCATCAATCCCGCTAGATTCGCTCACAGGTTATATTCTCGAGGTTGATTTGGAGTATCCCCAACACTTGCATGATGCACACGTAGATCTACCGTTCTGTCCAACGCAAACGAAGCCCCCGAACAAACGGCAAGAAAAACTCCTTGCGATTTTATATAATAAGCAGTGTTACGTTATTCATTATCGCAACCTGCAGCAGTGCATACGCCATGGTCTTCATAGCGGAAAGATTCATCGCATACTCCAATTCGTACAATCTTCATGGCTACGCAACTACATAGAATTAAATACGCAGTTTCGAACGCATGCAACAAACGATTTTGAGAAAAATTTATACAAATTGATGAACAACGCGGTATTCGGCAAAACAATGGAAAATGTTCGCTATCATGTCGATGTAAAACTTTTGACAAAATGGGATGGACGATGGGGTGCAGAGGCAATGGTCGCAATGCCCAATTTTCATAGCAGGAGCATCTTTTCAGAAAATTTGGTTGCAGTTGAATTGCGAAAACTCGAAGTGAAGTTCAACAAGCCGATCTATGTGGGTATGTGTATTCTCGACATATCTAAGGCCTGCTTGTATGAATTTCACCATGAGTACATGCCACCTTTATATCGCGAGAAATGTAAAGTACTGTATACGGACACAGATAGTTTAATTTACCATGTAATGTCCGACGATGTATGAGTTAATGAAACGTGACATTGCTAGGTTTGATACGAGCGATCCTCAAAATAACATATACGGTATACCGCTTAAGAACAAAAAAGTTCCAGGGCTTATGAAAGACGAAAATAACGGAGCTTACGGAATAATGACAGAATTCGTCGGGCTCAGAGCAAAAATGTATGCGCTGAAAGTAGAAGGTAAAAAGGATACTAAAAGGGCGAAGGGTGTTAAGAGGAATATTATAGCACGAACGATCAATTTTGACGATTACACGCATTGTTTGAGAGGAAATTGAAACGAGTCGGCGTCAATCGTACATAAGATCCAAGTTGCATGAGGTATACACGGTATTCGAAACGAAAACTGCTCTCAGTCCATACGATGATAAACGATTTATTATGCCTGATTCAATAAAGACATTACCATGGAGACATTATAGTATACTATTATAACGTTTATTTGTTTTATTAGCTATTTTACAATTAAATATGTCATCAAATGTTCTAACAAAACTGTATTTATTTTTTACAATACATTATCCTTTTGTATCCATGAATTATGTCGAATCCCAACCATTTTATATATACTTTGTCACCTTGCCTGCGCAACACCTTTTCTACTAAATATACATCTGGATTGGTGACACTATGTAGTTCGTGTTCGTAGAAACCTCCGGCGATAGGTTTCCCGCGCGAATCTGCGAGTAGGTAAGTTGCAGGATTAGTTGTCTGCACTTTAACGATTTTAAACACTTCGGTTGTCCAATTCGGTGTATAGCCTTTTTCAAAGATAGTTTTGAATTTGCTGACACGTACCAGATCACCCACTTTGAATTTCGCAGGCGCTGCAATCTTTATGTTACTATAGACTGTGTTTAAGAACTTATTAGCAATCATAGGAGTCACATCGATAGGACGCACGCCGATAGTTCGATGTTTTCGCTTGTTGTATTCAGCGACGAGGCGCGGTAACGATCCATTTGTAAGTTCCGTTGAACGTAAACATTTTCCACATGTTGTTCTTTACCGTGCGGTTGAATCGCTCCACAACAGATGCCTTCATTACTGAATAAGTCGAATAATGATTGACACCGTGTTTCTTCACAAGTCTCTG